TATCTAATTTCAAAAGCTTTAGTCTTCCTTCCATGTAGGTAAATGCAACACTACCCTAATATTACCATCTTTGTATTTTATTGATACCAACATCAACCACTATTTAATTAATTGTTATGTTTGTTTAGCTTTGGCCTAATTTTAGAAGTGTAAAAACTCTCAAATCCATTATGGTCATTGTGAGAGATTTATTTTTTTATTAGGGAGAATTTGGTAATGCGCCCGCGGCTGCTCCCTCGTGCGTCCGTTCCATCGCGCGCCCGCGCGGTCTACCGCTCGCCTCGCCAGCCCGCGTGCGTCCAACATCTGAGTCCGAGTCCAGGCCGTGCCAATCGCGCGCCCGCTTGCGTTTGAGTATGTGTCGCGGTCGGTGTCACACCGACAACCCGTCGGGTCGTTGGTTGGTTCGGATTTCCAACCTGTTTTCCTACCTGGGTCGGGTTAGGGTCAACCCGTTTGAACCCGGATCAGTTCAAGTTTGACCCGAACCCGACCCGTGACCCAAAATTGACACCCCTAACCTTGGGTAGTTAAGTGTCATCTCTAGGAAATTTCCATCTCTAGCCACTTTTGGTTCAATGATGCTATAAAATTAGTAAAATTACTCTTGGTTGGAGCACATCATCATCAACAATTAATAGTAATATGATAGACTAGTTCCTTACCACTTATAAAAAAATTTACCCAAATTTTGATTTAAATTTTCTTTTATATGATATGATTTAAAGTTATATAATTTTTTAAATAAATATTATCATATAAATCAATATATTTTTATATTTATGAACAAAATCAAATTTTTGTTGAAACAGCCTAAATTCAAACAATAAATTTGATTCAAGCTATCTAAAAATTTATTATATAATGCCTACAAAAATTATGATATAATTCTTAAATATTTTTAAAAGGTTTGTACTTAAACCTCTTAAATGTTAAATATTTTAAGTATATTATTATATTAATATTTTTAAATAAGTCGAATCATGAGTTAACCAGTCGAGTACTTAAGGGGTCCTCGTTAGCTCATTAGCTCATCAAACTAGGCTCACGAGACGCGGCTCATCTTTGGTCTATTGGTTGGAAGTTTATCTACCAATCAAGAGATCATGGGTTTGACTCTTACGTATATGATGCATGTGTTAAGTTTATCTTAATTAGCCCAAATCTCAAAAAAAAAAAGGCTCATGAGTTATTTATCGAGCCAAATCTAAATTGGGTCACGAATCAACTTGACTCACTTACGCCATTAACTCGATTAGAGAAGTTGCAATATAGGTTTCGTTGGGACGGCTTTTTTATTGCTTTCTAGATGGAGGTTTAGTACAAATTTTTTTATTTTTGTACTAAAACTAAGTTTAGAGATAAAAAAACGCGTAACGAAGCTATATTCTTTTCAAATTTAAGAAAACATTTTCAAGGTAAAAAAAGGTTTGATACTTTGATGGAGGACTCCATTAATTAGCTGTTCAGCTATCAAATTCCAGCAATAAAAACATTTTGTTTTCTTTATGGCTTATTGTCGGTTGGATCTATATAATTCATGCTTTGTAAATACAAATTCTATCAAAATAGCTTTGAAAATAATTAAATTTATTTTAAAATTAATATTGTATGTACAAAAAATAAATAAATTAGTTTTAAAATAAAATTAATTATTCTAAAATTTATTTTAATATAATTTCTATATGAGAATCGAAATACTAAAATTCATTAATTTAATGAACCGTATTTTTCACAAATAAAATATATAAAATAAAAATTAAAAAGACATTTTAATAATTGAGTAGTGATCATTGGTCCAACAATTTATTATGATGAATGGATCGGCAATTCTTAGATCCAGCTTGGAAAGCGTCGGTTTATCAGAGGGGTATTCTGGTAAATTTTAATTAAATTTAATTTTAATATTATTGAACTTATTTTGAGACAAATGTAATTAAATTTATTTACATATTATATTTATTTTAAAATTAATCTAATAATTTTGAGACTCGTTCATAAAAAATTTTCTCATTCAAATGTTATTTATAAACTTATTTAAAATAAAATATAAATTTTCATATATGTGTTTTGATTTGATTTAAATATTAAAATAATGTATAAATAAATAAAAATATTTTGAAATTAGATATATAAATACATAAAAATTTTATGACATATTTGTAAGTTCCCCAATTAATAATTGTAAGTGCCTATTAGTTTAATAGATACAAAATTTAAACAAATTATTCTCAAAAATCAAATTTTTAGTTTTACAATAAAACAACATCAAGCTTTAATCCCACTACTTGAGGCGGATATATAATTTTTTTTTAGATCAGCCTCTACATTCTTAACAAACCAGATCTAATTTATCTGTTCTCCTAATCGGTCTTCGAAACGTTGACATTTTATGTGACATAATCATCTAAGGCAACTTCCGGTGTTGCCAGGACCCAAGTTATTTATGAGAAAAATGGAGGATTGTGTTTAAGTAGTTGACAGCCATCGTAAAACTTTTCGAGTACCCATTTCTGACTAATCAATCAGGAATCTTATTTATTAATAGATCATAAAATATGAGGCTGAAGTAGTAACATAAAAGAAATAATTATCTTTCACCATTAGTGAGGAGACAAACTAAACAAGTTGTAAGAAACAATCAATTTCAACAAAATAATTGATTAATGTGTAGTACAAATGTAGATGGCCGATGGGCCATGGATGCAATGTAATGTCCATTACAATTTACTACTTCTCGCCGACAATAATCAATTTCTTATTTTTATTTTTGGAGTATTCAGTTGAGTATTTTTATGTGTTCAAAATGAGTTTTTAGGTTCGATTTGGTCGTAACCCGAAAAATGACCCATTTCATCTGACCCAATCTGATCTCAACCGATTAGAAAAATGAGTCACCTACCCATTTCATCTGCCCCAATGTAATTAAATATTATTATGTAGATGTGTTATTGCTAGGGAATGAAGAACTAAATACAAAGAGAAATAGTAAATCAAAAATTTAATTCGTGGCGCTACCCCCGGAAACCCTCGCAGGGCGGCTGCCCCTGACCCTGCGACCTGACTGGGCAGGTCGAACCCCGTCAGGGCGCTGCCCCTTGGACCCCGACATACATGCGAAACATTTATTTATGAGTTGTCCCCCCTAAAAATTATTGCTGGTTCCGCCTCTACCTACCCATATCGAATCAGACTCGGCAAACTCTTTGTTGGGAGTTTTAAAAAAGGCTGATTAAGTGTTATATATATTATTATATATATATATTATATATTATATATATATAATTATAATATATATATATATATATATATATTATATGATTGTGACTTTTTTATTATTATTATGGATTGATTGTTCTCTTCTCTTCCATCAACACAGACTTAAGCTGAACTGCATTTATTTTGGTTTTCTCTTTAGTGGTACTTTATACCTTTTGCAATTTTCTTGTGATTCATAGGTGTGCTTTTTTACAAACAATCAAAATTTTTCTCTGGGCTATTGTTGATCATTATTCTTTTTAGAATAAAAAATAAATAATGCAAATTAGATTAACATGTTCTCAGTATAATCCTGAATTTCCATAAAAATTTTAACATTGTACCCAAAATTTCTCTCAAAGATTATATAATTGGTATGTTACCATCGTTGTCCGACTATGATCTATTCAACCTTTGTTTGCTGACTACGGTCCCCCCGACCTCAATCACTCGACTACGATCTCTTCTACCATCATCGCCTGACTATGGTCTCTCCGACCTCTGTCATCTGGCTATGGTCCTCTAACCAACACGCCTGATTATGGTCCTATCGAACAAACAATTAGGTCAATCATCTTTTAAGAATAGCTCTCATGTCATTGAATTCTTCCAACTCTAATCATATAATGTGCTCTATAAGATACATATTCACTACATTATGCCAACGCCTTCCTCAAGGAAGGGCAGTATTTGTACTCGACTCCAAACACTAGTAGAATCATTTTAATTGAGTAATATCCCATAGTTTTTCCCCTTTTCAAAATTTTAATTTCCACATATGAATTTTGATGTCTCCTATAATTCTCGTACCCCTCTTTCGTATCTGTGTGTTCGACAATTATACAAAACTAAGACATTAAACTCTTTATCTTTTTACCACCCCAAATGTTCAGAAATGCAACAATACTAAAGAAAAATTAAAATGCTCAACATAGCATATTACTTTTTTTAGTATATGTTTGATTTATGTATTTTACTATTTTTATTCTTTATTTTTTGAAAGTGCTCAAAATAACTTTTTAAAGTGAAATTCGCGCCAGCCAGCACCCACCACTGTCATCTACCGATTACCAATGCCATCAAACTCTACCACAACCTTATCTAAGTCAAGCGATGATGGTCGGGTTCGAGTAACCCTATGACCCGAAACGGGTCGGAGTCGGGTTCAACATTTCGACCCGTTTCAAAAATCGGGTCGGATTCGGGTTAACCCTATGACCCAAAATTGAACCGAAAAATCGATTTTGACCCAGCAACCCGAGATTGACCCGATTTTGACCCGAAAAAGAGGAGATATACCCGTTTTTATCCCAAAAAGAGGAGATAAACTCGTTTTGACCTGAAAACTAGCAATTTTTTTGTTGGAAACGGGTCATTCGGGTCGTGTCGGGTTGACCCAGACCCGAAGCGGGTCAGAAAACTGACCCGTTTTCAAAAACGGGTCTGGTTCAGGTTGACCCGAATAGTGTCGGGTCAGTTTCAGGTTCAATCCGAACCCGACCCGTGACCCGAAATTGACACCCCTATATCTAACATATAAGAATAATAATAATAGTTATTTAAATATATAATATATTTTATTTTATATTAAAATATAAATAAAATAAAATAAAAAATAAAAAATTTATCCTAAACATACCCTTTTTTGATAGCAATCACTATCAATATTCATTTCTTCTGCGCAAACTTCAGCCATTCAAATTTAAAAACCCCAATAAACTCCTCTTTATTCAGCACCCATCACAAGCAACAAACACCATTACCATAATAAAATAAAATCTAAGATCCAAAGCACATTAGCACAGAACAAATTCTTTGCACAGAAAAGGCCTCTATCACTGATTACTTAGCTCGACTTCTTCAATGTGATGGCAATGGCAATGTCATTAGGGAAGAGATTATGCAAAACAAAAGCATGAAAAATAGTGCTGATGACTAAAGCTAAGCATGTAAGAGTAGATATGAAAGAGAGAGCCACTGATAGGATCTTCATGAAGAGACTATCAACTTCTCCTGCATAAATGATGGTTGCGATTGAAGCACTGGCCATAGGAACTGTGTAAGCCCACCAAGCCAGAGAGAACCTAAAGCCTCGAAAGAAGTTAACTCGAACAACCTGCAAATTAAAATGAAGGAAGGAAAGAAAAAGATAAGGGTTGAAGGTTTTGTTTATGGTTCTGATATGAGTGAATGTAAATGGGTGTTTGACGTGTTGTTTGTGAGTTATGTGACTTTATGATGAGGATCATCCTCAGATAAGGGAACATTTTGCCTTATAATATGCTTTAGTATTATTACTTTATTTTAGTTCTGCATCATGGTTAGTATTCCACTACCATATTTCCCTTTTTCATTATGCTTCCGTACTAAAGTTGCTTTAGTTAGTTATTTACATTTCCAGCACTCTTACATAAAAGCTTATATAGTTGTATACAGGGAAGATACAAACATAATGAAATATACAACTTTCTTATAGAACCAATTTCGGTGTTCTTGTTCTTATTGCATCATTTTTGCTAGCTCTCTAGTTCCTCCACCGATACCCTACATCAGTTATTGGTATCAGAGCTCGGTGCTTGGGGGTAATTGCGGAAAGCAGCAGGCGAGGGGCTGGCAACGACGTTCGCAGCCTTGATACCCTTTGGGAACTCCATAGTAATCTTGATCAAAGGTTAGATGAGCTAAGAACTGATCTGCGCCGGTTATCTATGGATATGCGGAGAGAGTTCCAAGCCATTCGGACGGAGTTGGGTAGACCTCATCCCAATCGGGCACCAGCGCAACCCACATTGTCCCCGGGGCGGCGTGATCGGGGACACCATCAAGGGTGTCGGCGTGAACCAGCAGTTCCTTAGTTAACGGATTCAGATGATGGAGGCTCGGAGCAGTTGAATGCTGATTTTTCATCTGAATCAGGGGAAGACCAATTACCGGCGCAATACAATCGGAGACGTCGGGGGACGTCTTACGGCCGCCCACACGGTGAATTTCGAGTGAAGCTCGATATCCCGTTTTTTGATGGCCGACTACACATTGAGGATTATCTGGACTGGGAAAGGTCAGTAGAAATGTTTTTTGAGTATATGGAAATTCCGTCGGACAAGCAGGTGAAGTATGTGGCTTGCCGATTAAAAGGAGGTGCAAGTGTGTGGTGGCTGTAGCTTCTACAAACACGAAGACGGGAGGTTTGTGGTGCAGTTCGTAATTGGCAGCGGATGAAGCAGCTTCGTCGTTGCCAATACTTACCCACGGATTATGAGCAAATCCTATACCACAAGTATCAGCATTGCACTCAAGGCAGTAGATTTGTTAGCGAGTATACAGAAGAATTTCACCGTCTTAGTGCATGTAATGATCTTAATGAGAGTGTTAACCATCTGGTTGCCCGGTACATCGGAGGACTCAAGGAAGTTATTCAAGATAAATTGGAGATGAATTCAGTCTGGTCACTTTCACAGGCGGTTAATTATGCATTGAAAGCTGAACTTCAATTGTACAGAGGTAGTAAACAGTATGTTGGTCGACGACAGTTTGTTGATCATCCACAAGACCAGGTGAAAACCAATTACAATCCGAACAAGTCCGCAGTGAAACCTCTCAGCTCCAATGATGCTACTCCGTCTCCTGTCCCGAATGCTGCACAGGGAGTGGCTAGTGATCCGAAGTTGCAACCAAAGTGGAGACAACCTGTTCGAGACAATCCGTATGCCAGACCGAGTACTATCAAGTGTTTCAGATGTTTCCAGGTAGGCCATAAATCAAACGAATGCCCAAGCCGACCACAGTTACAACTAACCACTGCTGAAAATGAGGAGTTACAAGGCGAGGTCGATGAACATGAAGTGGAGCAGGAAGAAGAAATTACACCTGATACGGGCGAACCATTGGTGTGTGTCATGGAGAAAATCTTATTGTCCCCAAGGCAGACGCAAAACTCCCAACATAATTCCGTTTTTAAAACCCGATGCACAAGTAATGGTAAGGTATGTGACTTACTAATTGATAGCGGATGTACCAAAAATGTCATCGCTCGATCGGTGGTGCAAGCACTTCAACTCAAGACTTCTAAAAGTTTCCATCCATATAAAATCAGTTGGGTGAAGAAGGGGATGGACATCTTGGTATCTGACATGTGTCGGGTCACTTTCTCTATAGGGAAACAATATGTAGGTGAAGTGTTATGCGATGTGTTAGATATGGATGTTTGCCATATTATCCTGGGGCGGCCTTGGCAGTATGATGTGGGCGCTATGTATGATGGCAGATCCAATTCTTACTCATTTGAATGGAAGGTAAGGCAGCTCAAACTTCTCCCACAACCTATTAGTTTTCTTGATTCACTAAAGAACAAAGTGGATGTTCTAAATTTGGTCTCGAGTTCAGCTATTCTGCATGCCAGCAAAGAGAGTTATGTACTCTTTGCATTAGTTGTCAAGGAAAAGTGCCACCATAACAAAGAAGGAATCACACACCCTGAGGTACAGCAGCTGCTCAAACAATTTCCTGATATTGGGCCCGAGACGTTGCCAGCAATTCTTCCTCCTCTACGTGCTATGCAGCACCAAATTGATCTTGCTCCAGGGGCTAATTTGCCTAACCTGCCGCACTACAGGTTAAGCCCAAAAGATCACTTATCATTGCAACAACTGGTGGATGACCTATTGGAGAAACAACTGATTCAACCTAGCCTGAGCCCGTGTGCCGTTCCCGCACTGTTGGTGCCGAAGAAAGACTGTACGTGGCAAATGTGCATGGATATCAGAGATATCAATAAAATTACAGTTAAGTTTCGGTTTCCCATTCCTCGGCTGGAAGAGTTGCTAGAAAGGCTAGCGAGATCAATTGTATTCTCTAAGCTTGATTTACGCAGCGGGTACCACCAAATTCGTATCCGACCCGGAGACGAATGGAAGACGGAGTTCAAGACTCGCCAAGGATTATATGAGTGGAAGGTCATGCCCTTCGGGATCTGTAACGCACCGGCCACATTCATGAGGCTCATGAATGAAATTTTGAAACCTTATTTGAACAAGTTTTGCGTTGTTTACTTTGATGATATTTTAATCTTTAGCAAAACTTTATCTGAGCATTGGCAACACCTACATCAGATTTTTGAAGTGCTGCAGGAAAATAAGCTGTATTTGAACTTGGCCAAGTGTGAATTTGCTACGGGTACTGCTTACTTCCTTGGTTTCATTATCACGGCTGAAGGGGTGCGGGTGGATCCGCAAAAAGTGAGAGCAATCACCGACTGACCCACATCGACGTCGTTCTTCGACATGCGCAGTTCCATGGTCTCGCAAATTTTTATCGATGTTTTATACGTGGCTTTAGTATATTAGCAGCTCCTTTAACTGATTGTTTAAAGGTTAAGCAATTTCTGTGGATGGAAACTCAGCAATCCAGCTTTGAAGCAGTAAAAACTGCACTTGCAACAGCCCCTGTACTCGCTTTGCCTGATTTTGAGAAACCATTCATTGTTGAAACGGATGCTTCCTTAGTTGGAGTAGGTGTTGTTTTGATGCAGTGTGGCAAACCTGTTGAGTATTTCAGTGAAAAATTGTGCCCGGCTCGACAAAAATGGAGTGTATATGAGCAAGAGCTTTATGTTGTGGTGCGTGCGCTTAAACAGTTGGAACAATACCTATTACACCAAGATTTCATTCTCCACAGCGATCATAAAGCTTTACAGTACATTAATAGCCAAAAAACACTTAACCGTATGCATGCTCGTTGGATCTTGTATCTACAACGATTTGTTCTTAAGCACAAACCAGGTTCACAAAACAGGGTAGCTGATGCTTTGAGCCGACAATCCACTCTCTTATTGCAACTGAACACTGAAATTATCGGGCTCCAGTGTTTAAAAGACCTGTATGCTACGAACAAGGATTTCACGAAGATATGGGCGGAATGTCTAGAGCAGCCTTCGGTGGGAGATTATGAAATACGTCAGGGATATCTATTTAAACAAAATGCACTATGTGTACCAGATTCTTCTTGGAGGCAGCAATTGATTCGTGAATTACACTATGGGGGCTTAGCTGCTCACGTTGGCCGTGACAAAACCATCGAACAGCTGCAGCTCAGATTCTTTTGGCTGCATCTGCGGTGGGATGTCTCAATCGAGAGGTGCTCAGTATGTCAATCGTATAAGGGCAGTGGACAGAATGCCAGATTATATATGCCGTTACCAGTGCCAGCTACAATATGGGAGGTTCTCAGCTTGGATTTTTTTCTCGGGTTGCCACGAACGAAGCGAGGTAATGATTCTATCATGGTTGTGGTAGACAGGTTTTCTAAAATGGCGTATTTTATAGCGTGCAAGAAAACCTTTGATGCTCTTAACATTGCTTGTTTTTTTTTCAATGAAATTATTCGTTTACATGGCATTCCTCGTAGTTTAACATCCGATCGCGGTGTTAAATTTGTTAGTCATTTTTTGTGCGAATTGTGGAAACGCCTTAAAACTGACATCAATTGAGTTCCGCATATCATCCGCAAACGGATGGCCAGACTGAGGTGGTCAACCGTACTCTAGGCAATATGTTGAGGTGTCTTGTTCAAAAGAAGCCAAGACTTTGGGATGATGTTCTAAGCCAAGCAGAATTCGCGTATAATAGTATGCCAAACAGGTCGACGGGTTTTTCACCGTTCCATGTTGTATACACTAAAGCCCATAATCATACTGTTGATGTGGAAGTTCTGCCTAAATGTAGCAGTCGAAATGCTGCCCAAATTGTTGATCAATTCACAACCATGCTAATTGATGTCCGTCACAAGCTCATTGCCTCCAATGAGCAGTACAAAGCTGCGGCTGATTGTCATCGGCGGGAGAGAATTTTTAAGCCTGGAGAATTGGTTATGGTTCGTATACGACGAGAGCGACAACCACATGGTGCTTATTCTAAATTGGGTCGCCGGAAGATGGTCCCGTTTCCCATTTTGAAGAAGATAAATGACAATGCTTATGTCATTGATCTTCCGTCTGATTTTGGCACAACGTCTACCTTCAATGTTGCCGATATCTATCCGTATTTTCCAGCTGACAATGCTCATATTGCTGATTCTGCTGAGACAGCAGAACTCTCGCCGGCAGGGGACAACTGATGAGGATCATCCTAAGATAAGGGAACACTTTACTTTATAATATGCTTTAGTATTATTACTTTATTTTAGTTATGCATCATGGTTAGTATTCCACTACCATATTTCCCTTTTTCATTATGCTTCCGTACTAAAGTTGCTTTAGTTAGTTATTTCCATTTCCAGCACTCTTACAGAAAAGCTTATATAGTTGTATACAGGGAAGATACAAACAGAATGAAATATACAACTTTCTTATATAACCAATTTCGGTGTTCTTGTTCTTATTACATCGTTTTTGCTAGCTCTCTAGTTCCTCCACCGATACCCTACATCAGTTTATAGGTTATTAGGTAGGTTCTTATCGGTTTTGTGGCTGCTCCTCTTCCTTACTTATCTGGAGTTGTGGGTATCTTCTAATTGCCTAATAGTTCTTCCCCATCAGGAGTTTTAAGCATTCTTGAATTGCCTAGCAATGCCTTTTTTTTTTGTTCATTTTCTCTTCTTTCTATGGTTATTTGAGTTATATTTATATCAAATGGTGCTAAAAGGAAGCATCATTGATACACACACAAAACATGTGAAGCCCCCCATAAGAGAGTGAAGCTAAGTTCTTAAATGTTGGGACACCTTTTAGTATAATGATTGAAATTTCATTAGAAACTCTAAAGTTAAATGTGCTTGTATCAAATCACTTATAAATGATTAATCTTTTGGGAAATTACACAAAGGAGATAAAACCTTGAGTCTAAATTATAGGAGAAAGGAGCATAGATTACAAAGTGAAACTAATGTTTTTGTCAAAATCAATTTGGATTCATGACAAGTAGGTCTAGTATGGAAGCTATACATTTATTGAGAGATTTGATGGAGAATTATAGAGAGAATAAGGATGATCTACATATGATATTTATTAATTTAAAGAAAGCATTTGATAAAGTTTCAAGACAAGTGCTATGGTGAGTTTAAGGAAAAAAAGGGGTTAATATTAAAGCTTATATTTAAGTCATTAAAAGATACGTATGCTTCAGTTGTTACTTGTGTTCAAATACAAAAGGTGGTTTGACAAAGTATTTTCCTACTTCAGTTGGATTACATCAATGATCAGCCTTAAGCCAGTATCTTTTTTACTTTAGTTATGGGTTCTTACTATGGATTTGAAGAGGTTGTATCCTGGTGGATGCTCTTTGCTGATGATAATCTTTTTGTTGATATATAAGACTAGAGAGGGAGTTGAAGGAAAAATTGAATTATGGAGGTCAATTAGCTTAAAGTCTAAAGGTTTTCGTTTGAGTAGAACTAAAACCGAATATATGTAGTATAATTTTAATAGTAATAGATTTAGCTAGTGGGGGATTGTTAATTTTGACAAGAAGTTATTAATAAGAGTACACGTTTTATATATCTTGAGTCTATTATTTAGAATGATGGTGAAATAGATGAGGATATTATTAGTTGAATTCAAGTTGGATGGTTGAAGTGAAGGAATGCATCGAGCTTGTTATGTGAAAGAAAAATATCTCTCAAAATTAACGAAAAATTCTATAAGATGGTTGTAACCCCTGCAGTGCTTTATGATGCAGAATGTTGGTCATTAAAAGAGAAGCTAATATTAAGTTAAGTGTTGTCGAGATGAGGATGCTCATGTGGATGAGTGTCTTTACTCTTAGAGACAAGATACAAAACGAGCAAATACGTAAAAAGGTTGGTGTAGCTCCAATGGAAGATAAGATTAAAAAGAGTCCCCTTAGGTGTTTTGGTCACATATAACGGCAGCCTTCCAGTGATCCGATTAGGAGAGTAGATGTATTAGATCAGACTTATGTTAAGAAAGGTACAAATAGATCTAAAAAATTTTAGTTACAAAATATTAAAAATGACATTTCTTTAGTAGATTTAAATAAGAATTTGATTCTTAGCAAAATACAATGGAGAAGAAAAATTTAATGTAGCCAATCCCACATAGTAGAATAAAGGCTTGATATTGTTGTTATTACCTTAAAAAAAAAAACCCAAATCATCCCTATAAAACTTATCGGGTCCATTGTATTCACATATTATTAAATGGGCCTAATTTTATCTAAATTAGTTCCTTAACTCTCCAAAAATTTCTCCTAGAAATCTAAACCAGATTTAATTTCGGTTATTTTAAAAGTTTAAAATATCAAATTAGACCCATTCAAAAGTCTAAGATTAAAACATCTCACTATAAACTGAACCCAAATACTACAAAATTTTCAAATCTGAGAGACTCTTACCAGAGAAGCATAAATGAACATGGACGTGAAGTAAGCTATCCTTGAGCCAAGATCAAAGTGCCCAACTATCCTACTCCATGACACGCTAGCCAGACTTGGCACTGCCACAAACAAGAAGAAAACTGGGTGAAGATCCTTCGGCAAAGCCTCATTTGTCGGAAGCCTCTGATAAAGAGTCACAAACAAGACAAGATAATGCGCCAAACCCACTGCAAAGAAGAAGACCGGTCCCTCTTTGAGCCCCATAGATGATCCCAGCAATGCAACTGCAAAGTTTCCTGCAATCGACAGATGCGTCGACGGGTTCGCCACCTTCGAAAGCCTTCGTTCTCCTCCCATCATCCACTGCCCATAGATGTTGAGCTCAAGGAATAGTATAGGAGCCATTAGTACATACCATAGAGCAGAATGTAAGTGCTTTGCAATGGATGGAGGAGCACTGACTACTAATAATATGCAGCCTATCCATGGAGTGAAGAAGAAGTTGACTCTGATAGGATGAAGAAACTCTCTTTTCACAGCTTCGAAGTAAAATATCATCTTCAGAACATATGTGGAGGCCACTAAGATCATCAAAGAGACTGCGATGCACCAAAGGACGTAGTAGATAACCGAGCTTACATGAAGAAAGCTCATGGAAGGAGATGTGGCTATTATCTTCCAGAGGAAGGCTTGGATTCCTATACCAACAGAGACACCAAAAGAAGATATGGTGAAGCGAAGAAGAAAAGGCCATTTCTCATCTTGAGGAAGAATCAGCGTCTCTGACGCCTGAAATAGGTGCAAAAATTATAATTTAACTATCAAAAAATAGACCTATCACAGCATAGTATTAGTGAAGAAACCAATGGTACAGAGAACACTAAAGAAACTGGAAGAAACAAGAGAGAAATTGTATTATTCTGATTCCCCTATTACAGGCGTTTGGCAGGTCTATATATAGGGATTGCCAGTACGGCTCAAGAAGCCGAAGACCAATAGGAAAATGACACCTTGCATTTCATTTTACTTAATACAATGTATAGACCAACGGTTTATAGAGAGTGTTCTAATATTCCCCCGCAAATTAATGGTTCTTTGTTAACTGTCAGTTTGTGCCTTAGTTTTTGAAATCGAGGTGTAAAGAGGGCTTTTGTGAAAATATCTGCCACTTGATCTATTGTGCTTATGGGTAAGATGGATATGTACCGGTTTTGGATGTGTTCACGAACGAATTTCTGATCTATTTCAATGTGCTTTGTGCATGCGTGAAACACCGGATTATTTGCCAGAGCTATTGCGGAGGTGTTGTCGCAGTATATGTTGGTTGGAGTAGACTGAGTGATGCCAAATTCGAACAGCAGCCTATGAATCCAGAGAACATCTGCCGTTAAGGCTGCCAGTGCGCGATACTCAGACTCGGTCGACGATCTTGCAATGGTGTGCTGCTTCTTCACCGTCCATGAAATGAGGGTGTTGCCGAGAAAGGAGCAGTAACCTGAGGTAGATTTTCTTGATTCTGGGTCGCCCGCCCAATCGGCATCTGAAAAAGATTGAAGTTGGAGATCAGATTTTGTTACAGGTAAGCCATATTTTGACGTACCTTTGAGGTAGCGAAGAAGCCGTTTGAGCAGATAAACGTGCTGAGGTTGAGGTTCATGCATATGTTGTGACAATAGATTAACACTGTAAGAGATATCCGGTCGTGTAATGGTTAGATATTGAAGAGATCCCGTGATTTGGCGATACATGGTTGGAACTTGAAGGTTTGTTTCGCAGTTAAATGTATATGGGATCTTGGTGCACGTGGGATTGGCCAGCTCTTTACATTCCGTCAGATTGGCTTGAGCGAGGATTTGCTGGACATAGTTTTCTTGACATAGGAAGTAGCTGTTATCCTGTTTTGTTATTTTAATACCCAGAAATTCCGAAACCTCCCCAAGATGCTTCATGTTGAATTTGTTGTTAAGCTCGTCCAGCACATGTTGTATTCTGTCCAAATTATTACCCGAGATTAGAATATCATCTACATATACTAGTAAAAAAATGCAAACCTGATCCTTCTTGTATATGAAAAGCGATGGGTCGGACTGACTTTGAGTGAACCCGAGTGTGATTACGGTGTTCGCAAACGTATTGTACCATTGCCTGGGCGCTTGTTTTAAGCCGTATAACGCTTTGCGAAGATGGCAGACATGGTTTAGATGCGTGTTATCTTCGAATCCTTTCGGTTGCGTCATGTACACGATCTCCGACAGATGCCCATGAAGGAATGCGTTTGCCACATCGAGTTGTTGCACTTTCCATCGTGGTACAGTGCAATAGCTAGAAGGATCCTTACGGTTGGAAGTTTGGCAACTGGACTGAAAGTTTCGAGATAGTCCAACCCGTATTGTTGATGATTGCCTTGAGCCACCAGTCTGGCCTTGTGAGTGGCAATAGTCCCGTCTGCATGTAGTTTCGTTTTGTAGGTCCACCGACATCCGAGGATGGACGCATTCGGCGGTGGTTTCACCAGTTGCCAAGTTCCTTGTCGTTGAAGAGCCAGAAATTCGTTGGCCATAGCTTGACGCCATTCGAATTTCTTAACTGCTTCGGCGTATGTGGTGGGATCAGCCGATTGATTGCTCTTTTTGTGGTTGTAGTGCAGATTTAATCTGTTGGTTGGTCGAAGAGAACCTGTTTTGCTGCGTGTGGTCATCGGGTGACCCGAGATGATTGGGTGCACTGGTTCCATGCGTGTTTCTTGATTGATTTGCTGAACCTGTTGTATGGAGACATTTGTTTCAGTTCTCAGAGGAATGGGTGGTTGCATTACCTGAGATGGGGGATGTAACGTTCTCTTCGGGTGATAAGATGGAGGTGGGAGAGGAGTAAGCAATAGCTGAGGAATGGTGGACTCCTGCGGTACATTGCCAGACGGAAGCTTTTTCTGAGAAAAAGGAAAATTGTTTTCTTGAAACATAATATGTCTGCTTATAGTAATTTTGTTGTTTTGAATGTTTAAACATTTATAACCCTTATGATCGTCAGAATAGCCTAGAAAGACATGAGACTGGGCTTTAGGTTGCAGTTTGTGGCGTGTGTGCGGTGGGGCTAGTGGAAAGCACTCGTAGTCGAACACCTTTAGATGATCATAACGAGGTTTGTGTTTGTAGAATAATTCGAACGGGGAGGCGTTGGTGATGGTGCCCGACGGTAGTCGATTTATGAGGTATACCGCCGTGAATACCGCATCCGGCCAGTAGACATATGGAACCGATGCTGTGGCAAGCAGTGTACGAGTGGTTTCAATAACGTGACGGTGCTTGCGCTCTGCAACGCCATTCTGTTCAGGTGTATAGGGACAGGATTTCCGGTGCAGAATCCCGTGTTGTTTTAGAAATGAGGAGAACGCCTGATTAACATATTATGAGCCGCCGTCAGACTGAAGTATTTTAATTTTCTGTGAAGTATAGTTCTCCACCTGGGTTTTAAATGAAGAAAAAACGTCAGACTTGAACTGAAGGGGAAACACCCAGGTAAAACGAGAGTAGTCATCAATGAAGATGACATAATATCTGTATCTCTGATTTGATGCTATAGGAGCCGGTCCCCACACGTCGGAGTGAATAAGCGAAAGTAGAGAGTTATTATGATGTTCTGAATGCTCAAAGGGCAATTTGTGACATTTAGAGCTATTACAAGGATTGCAGTTAATGGCATATTTCCCTAGAGCTAATGCAGGATTACATTTAGAAATGATGTTAAAAGTTCTCTTGTGCGGGTGACCCAGCCTTTGATGCCACCGGAGTGCCGAGGAGCTACTTGCAGCAAGCGACTTGTGATGCTGCACTTTATTTACTGTCGAAATTTGGTAGAGTCCTTCCTTACACGGGCCGCGAAGAATAACTCTGTCCGTCCTCAGATCCTTCAATATGAAACCGGTGGGATCAAATATAATGGATATGTTGTTGTCTTTGGTTAATTGAGAAATCGAAAGAAGATTAAATTGTAAGGAAGGCAAATGAAGAATGTGTGATAAGGTAAGCTTACTAGACGGGGTCGGGAGAATGCCCGCCCCTGTGTGAGAGATTTTAACAGAGCTACCGTCTCCAATTGTGACAGTGTCCGACCCTTGATATGGGGATGAGATGGACATGTTGTCTAGCGAATTGGTGAGATGAGTGGAAGCCCCTGAGTCCAGAAACCAATTATCGTCGTTGTTGTCGGAGCCCGCCAGCAAAGCCGTATTGGTATTTCGTGAAGACGGGGTGTATTGCATGTTCGCTCTGTGCCAGCATGTCTGTGTCGAGTGACCCTTTTTGAGACAGATCTGGCATGTTACAGAGGTTACCGCCGTGTTTCTTGAAGGATTGTTTGTACCGTTCGGAGGTTTTCCTCTGGATCTTTTGCCTCTTCCTCTGTAGTTGAAGAGTGCAGTGGTTGGATCAGACCTGTGCGTGAACTTGGATGCCTCGGTTGCCAGATTTACTTCTTCAATTAGCAGAAGAGGATAGAGCTGATCAAGCGAGATTGGATGCAGCATTGTTCGAATGGCCGTCTTGAATGATTGATACGATGGGGGTAGACCGTTTAGAATGTACATAATTACATCTTCTGTATCGACGATCGCCCCTGCTGCAGCGATTTGGTCCACCAAAGATTTGATCTCCGTGAGGTACTGGTTCATGTTAGAGTTCTTGAAGGTGATGTTATGGAGTTCATTCTTCAATTGAATGACCTTGGATCTGTTCGTTGATTGAAACCTGTTCTGAATAGACAGCCAGATTGCTGTCGTGGTGTCGAGGTGAATGACGTAGGGAAGAACAGGTGCCGAAATGGTGGAGCAGATGGCAGCGGAGATATTTTGATCCGTGAGAGCCCATTTAGAGAATAATGGGTTTGTTGAGGGCAGGCCGTCTGAGTTCGTGATCGTCTGAGGGGGAGGGAGGAAATCGGGATCAAGAAATTGTTGAAACCCATTGGCACAGACGATCTTGAGGACCTGAGATCGCCATAGAGTGTAGTTGTCGATCGCCAGCGGAATCGTCACGACATTCTTGATGTTTGACACCAAGAATTTGAGATTAGAAGGAATCACCAGTTCAGAGGTGTCGAGCGCAGGCAATACATGGTGTTGTGCAACTCCGGAGGAGACAGAGTGATCCATCTGAGAGCAAGAGGACCTAACCTACTCTTGATACCATGAAGAAACCAATGGTACAGAGAACACTAAAGAAACTGGAAGAAACAAGAGAGAAATTGTATTATTCTGATTCCCCTATTACAGGCGTTTGGCAGGTCTATATATAGGGATTGCCAGTACGGCTCAAGAAGCCAAAGACCAATAGGAAAATGACACCTTGCATTTCATTTTACTTAATACAATGAATAGACCAACGGTTTATAGAGAGTGTTCTAATAATTAGGCCTATCTCGGTGGTTATAACCGCCACAAATTTTTTTGCAGCGGTTTTAAAACCGCTGCACCCCCGCTATAATTGCAATGCGCTACAACGACATTCTACATCAGTTTAAGGACCGGCGGGTTAGATTTAGCAGCGGTTATAACCACCCCAAATTTCCAAATTTGCAGAGGTTTTAACCGTCATTAATTCTATTCAAATAAATAGATTTATAATATTATGGCGTGATTTCTAATATTATGACGGTTTTAGCTGTCGCAAATCTTGACATTTGTGAAGGTTATAAAGACAGAATATATTACTATTATGCTGTTAAAGAGATAGAATATGTGCTTGCCTTGAGTTCCTCTAGTTCAGGCCCTTCAAGGGCTGCAAAATAACGTTCAGCTGAAGGCAATTCGCCTTGTTCTGCAGCTTCTGATCCAGAGATAACTTGTATGATCTCCTGCGACTTTCTTGAGAACTGGTTGTCAAATCTGAGAGAATTCGTCTTGAAAGAATCATAGCAGTTCTCTGTTACTCTTCTGTGGCTTGAAAATTCGTGCTGGGATGTCCTCGTGGCTGATAGATCTGCATGGAAGCTCATAGGCTGGTCTGGATTTCGAGCTTCAGGTGTGTCTGGCATGCTCAGGGAAGCTGAATGAAGTTGATTTTTGAGATCCGTTGCTTGAATGGGAGTAATCATAATCATCTGATCTTCATGATTAAAAAAAATATTTATATATTTATAAATTTTGATATTTTAGTATCACAATCAAATTAAAATATATGGATTAAAAAATGTTTTCACTTTAAAAAACTAATATAAATGATTTTTTATGTGACTTAAATATTTAAATATTAAATTTTAGATGTTAGATATATAAATATTGAAAAGTTAAGTAATATTTATGCAAATTATTATTATTATTTTTTTGGTAATGCGATGATTTATATACTTAATAAGCTAAAAAATGACAAAAAAATTCAAAGATGGAGCTCTTTCACTTCTTTACTTGTCCTTTTAAAATCATATTTTTCTATTATAAAAT